CCCCTCCCGAAATCCTTTCTTATCCGAGTCGCTTTAATACAACCGGCCGGCCTGATGCAAATTAAACTACCTTCGGAAATCCTTTATCGCACTGCCACGCTTAAGAGCTACATTCGCGCGCAAATATTCCGGACTAACTCGATCGTTACTACAATCAACCCACGCGATTTTTTTCCCAATAACTTTTTTTTTAACTTCGAAAATGATCGCGATGAAAAGATAAACTCGGATCACCCTGTATAATACAACGGTCGAAATTTGTTCGGTCGAATTCGGTTCGAGTGCCTGATGTTTCTACTACTATACAAGCAGAGGCACAATGACGGCCATTCCGTTTCTTTTTTTCAGTCAACCCAAAAAATAATCCGTTTGAGTAACCAATATTATTTTACAACGATCTTGAGAATTATCGTGCGATTTAATTACGTATTTCAATTTTTGCACTATCAGTGATTTCTGCTCAGCATGATTTCTGTGTGAGATAACTTCTGTTTAGCAACTAACAACTTGACACTACCAAGGCTGCCTCGTTCTGTCGCCGCTGGAGGTTACCATGTTTTTTTTTCTATAAACCTGGCCCCAGCTACAAATCAGTTTCACGTGACTCGCGCGGTCGGGCCGGCGACACACTCGTGCGGAAACAATGCCGCTAATGGAGAAAAATCGCCCAGGTGTGATAACGCGGTGCCTTCGTATCCGCTAATGTGCTACACGATGTGTTACAACTACCCGCGCAATTAAGCGAAACATGTCGTCGGGAGGTTGGAAAAAAAAAAAGTAAACCGGTGTTGTCATTAAAGAATCTTTTTCGTAGCTAAGCATAACTAAGTGTAAAACGAAAAAAAAGAAATATTATACATACGTTAAATAATGTGACGGTGATATATATATATATATACAGCACAATGAGGCAACGACTTGATTACGTGATAACGCATATCGAATTTGTAGCGAAAATTTCCGCGCTATCAAGAAAGGCCATTGACGAACGTTCGGTCCTACTTGGCTTTCTTCGGCGATTGATCTAACTGGCGTAACAACGGGATCTCACGATTATCACCTGATTTTCCACAAGATTAATTCGCGTGATTCACTTTCGGAACCGTGTCGGAACCTACAGGGGTTTTATTTTTTCTGCCCTCTGTCAACGTGTAGATATGCGACGATCCATATATAATCAGTGGTAGGTCGACGGGAGATTCGATGTGACCGAAAGATCTCTGCGATCCTTCGAATTGGAGGGAATCGAGAGACTGTGAAATTTTCATTCGTGCTGGCAGCAGCAACGCCGGAATGTCGACGCTGACCGCTCGCTGGGAATTCGCTCGTACTCCGGCCGCCTAATAACTCGAGTAGAAGAGGGACGCTTCTCTGCAGATACGGCTGTAACGAGGAATAATTGAATTAGACGAACAAATGGTCTCTTCCTTTCGCCTACAGATATTTTGTTAGTGCTTCCGACGACGCTGCCGCTCAAAAATATTTTATAATCCCGCGTATTCTCATCGTAGACAATATAATGCATTTTTTATACTCGCTCCTCAGATTATTTTCAATCAACCATTACGATTGCGCGCTAGAGTGAGAGAGAGAGAGAGAGAAAGAGAAAAAGATACGACATTTAATTAATACGCGGGACACACGTAAATTTTATTCCGTCGAGGGTCGAAGCGCAAAAACGAAACGCGGGGGAGTGGAGTTAATTAATTATTCCCTTATTACGCTACACCAGGACGGGGGAGCGCAAGAGAGCGCGCGGGGTGCGCGCGGGAAGAGAACGAGACTGCAGTCGTCTCATTTCTGACTACCTAGCGAAAATTTCGCTAAAGTGCTGCTCATGTGGAAATGACATAATTCGCGTGCGGCAAGGGCAATTGGCAGTAATTAAAGTGGGGCGGTGAGAGAGGGGTAGCCGGAGGGTAGCGGGGCATGAATGAAATTAAGGCGGGTAGCGAAGATGACCGTTTACACGGGTCCACGTCTGCTCGACTACGCTCTCTGTGCCGCGACAATAAAACGAATTTGCATACGGGACAACTCGCCCCCGGACGAATGTCCCGCGTCTGCGTCTCTGCGAGCGGAACATTTTCCTCGGGTGGACGAACGGAGTCATCGGCGCTGGCCGAAAAAGCCATGTATTAAGAATTTATTAACCGCCATTCCAGTGAATCGCAGATACCTCCGCGTGGGCGCGTAGGGCAAATTTGTCTGCAGCCAAGAAAGCTATTTAAAACGTTTTTTTACGTACGTTATTATGTACGCGTACGTATTGTGCCTCGTAATAAAATAGAGATACATCGTCCCTTCTTTACACTCAGATTCACGGCATTGTCCACTTTATCTAATGTCCACTTTCGGCTAAACGAGCTGCCTTTCGAGACTGGATAACCTACGTTTCAGGATGGGATTTTCGCGCGACAGCGCAACGCGGCAATGTTCAGAACGTTTAAGAGATAAAACGGACAATGCCGAAATGTAAAAACATTCGCAAGGAAAACGAATGCTGAAGCGGAACACGTCGCAGTATTTTTGTGGTGAGCGGACGACGACTCGCGTTAGTGTGCGCGCGCGCTCACTCGCTCGCTCGCTCGCTCGCTCACGCTATAGCGTATTTGCGAGATCCGCCGTGCTGATGGACATATAATGCGACGTGTGATTGTAGGCCCGCCAATCGCGGCCGATTGTGCCCCTGAAGGCCCGCTAACTATCTCAAACTAGCCCCATTCAAGCCTCGCGACCTCTCTCTATCCACCTTTATCTGTCTATACCCATCTCTGTAGCCCGCCACCTCAGCCACTCTACCCCTTTCGCTCTCTCAACCCCGGGTCTCTTCCGACCATCCCTCCTGGTTGGTCTGTCTCCAAAGCGAACGCGAACGCGCGAGTCTACGCGCGTCGTGTCTCCGCTCCTCCGATTTCTCCGCGTTATATGCATACGCATACATATAATATACAAATACATAGATACACTTATATGTATATATTTTATATATATATATATATATATATACATATATATATATAATATAAGCCACACGCGTAGGGCGAACGTGGAAATTCCGAATCTATCAGCCGCCCAGACGAATGCAAATGGCATATGAAGCGCGCTTAATAAAGACTACGCAACTTGCGAATCACAATTTTCTTTGGGACGTGCTGCCCGTGACGATCACGCATGGACTTCGTGCGAAAAATTCCTGGCTCTTTCGTGCGAACGACGCGATTCATCGAGATATTAAATAAATGCATCATTTAGCAGTGGGTTTTCAACGAATTCGTGTCTTGAATATAGCAAAGACACAATTCGATCGCCATTCTTTTTATTTTTGCAAGGATAAGTGTTTGCATATTCCATAGCGATCGAAAGAAACAATTATCTTTCGTGAACTTTGCCAGTGAACCGAGATAAAGTTTGATAGAAATTAAAACGATGAATAATCATAATAATGAGCATTTTATTATTTCTACTTGTTCTGTAAAAAATATATAATATATATAATAATTTGCATTGTGTACATTTTTGCAATATATACATATATATATATGTATGTATATATATGTATATACCGACATATAAAAATATTACTTCACATTTTTTCTTCTACACACTTAACTCAATGTATATTAATATATAATTTAATATAAAAATAAACAATTCATTTAAGCTAATGAGAGTCTAAGGTGCAGCGATACAAAACTTTAATTACTTTTTCATTGCACAAAATTTTCTTCATTTTTGAACGTTTCGGTTACTTTGGATTTATATGATAATATATATATTACTAGTTTCATTTCCCCCTTTACTAGTTTATATTTATTATATATATATATATATATATATTACAA